TTTTAATTTTCATTATATGTGTATATATATAACAATATATATATATATATATATATATATATGTACACGTCTTATATATATTTTTTTAATTTTCATTATATGTGTATATCCAAATATATATATATATATATACACTGTCAAATTATTGATAATAATAATTATTATTATTATTTAAAAATTCTATAAACTAACTGATTTATTCTTAGTTACTAAATGTATTTTCATATTGTTGAGAAGTGAAGATATTAATTTATTTGTTCCTTGTTGAGACGTCAATCGCCATTTAAACTTTTAGACTTCTTGCTACTAGCTACGAGTTTGTTTTGTAATTCATGGTTTTATAACAAATCCAAAAAAATGATTTTGAAAACTTCAAGAATATTATTGTGATATCTCTTTAACATGTATAACGTTTTTTTTTTTTTTTTTTTTTTTTTTTTTTTTTTACAAAAAGTTAGATTTAAATAGGATAGTTACTTCAAATGATAATTCATATGCCTTTACTAGGATAAACAGATTTGAATTTTTAAACATTTTGAGGATTCATTATTAGATTGATCTCAGTCACATAAGTATATTGGATAATTATTTTACTAAAATTTAGTATAAAATAAACTTGTAAAATAGAATGAGCCAATTTATAAAAATACTGAAATGAAATAATTGCATTAAGATAAGGAGTTAACATAAAGTTTTAATAATCAAAATAATCAACTCAATAATATTTGTACATTAATGCGATAACATTGCTCTTCATATAATAAAGCATTTTATAAATTTTATAATTATATGATGATAAAATGTTGTAACCAAACTGATTGGTAATTTGGTAGTAGCAAATAATTTGGTGGCATGTATAGTACTCTCTCTCTTTCTCTCTCTCTCTCTCTCTCTCTCTCTATCTATATATATATGATTTTCTTTAAATTGTTTACTGTTATATATAAAATATATGAACAGCTTTTTTTGTGATTATTACTAGAGAAATGAATGATAGAAATACATGAACATTAATTATTCGTTCACAAACCAACACAATCAAATAATTAAAATCAAATCTATGTTCCTGGTTGATGAATTATTCTGTAAATGTCTCTTTTCAAAAAATTAATAAAACACAAAACACAAAATATTATATGAGTTTTAAGTAAGCACAACACCAGGAAATAATTGTGATTGTTTTAATTTAAATTAAAGGCATAAATCATGCTACATATATATATGTGTGTGTATATAAATTTATTTTTAATCCACCTGTTTTTTATTCCCAAACCTTGTTTACTGCAACATCTTGCTTACAAATGTTATGCAAGAAATAATTGTGAAACCAAATGCGTAATTGATTGAATAATCTGTTATTCTTTTTTCCTCCAATAATAAAAGAAAGATAGACCCTCTCACACTTGTCTTCGTTGCACTTGATGAAGATCTAGATTGTGAATCTAAGGTTAACTATTCAGATCAACAGTACGAATGCATATGACCAAATATATATATATGCAGAAGGAAAAATATTGTATGAATATGTTCTCATAAACATAAGAAAATTAGAGAGGAAGAAAGGTGCTGTAACCCTACTTTTACAAGGTGATTAAGTTGGCTACATCTTGAGTACATATTAAATGAGATGAAGATAAACATAAGCAGACGTTTTCCAGTATGATTAAATGAATTATAAGTGGGTGTAATGGTGGATGGATGAATGATGGATGAAAAAACTAAATGTTGGGGAACCGTTGGACAGGGTGAAAAAGAATTTACTTCTATGTCCCTTGAGCCACCATTTTGTAGCCGGCTGATTAAGGTTAGAGGAAACAAAAGGAGGTTTAAATATTTAATTCATCCATTTACTTATGCAACATATTTAAGATCTAAATAAAGGTCATGGGGTATGGTGTCAAACACTTTTGAAATTTGTATTAATAACAATGCGGTTTCAAGCATCTAACTAATAGTTATTAAGACTATTATAAATATTACTACTTCTGCTGTTATGGCATGGAGAGTGTTTGTATTAGAGGAGTTAGTAGGCTAATCAATATTTCTCATTCATTGATTCATCACAGGCCGAATCAGTTTATGATCTCCCTCTCACCTTTCCCTTCCTTTCGTATTCTATTCTCACTCTGTTCCCCCAAAATCCTAGAAAAATAAAACCAAGCTTTAATTATAATAAACATTCACACACATGTAATGTAGTTGTTTCAAAATGGAATTTAGGGGGGGGGAGTCCTAACTGTTTCTTTTGTATTGATTTTATTTGTCTTGGGAGATGGAGAGGGTCAAGAAGCCTTTCTCCTCCATAATAATAATAATATTAAAGAGCCTGCCATTCTTCTCCTAAAGGCCTGGCTAAAGAGCCACTCACTGGGCTTGAAGACAGATGAATGGATGGATGAAAACTTATCCAGACATTCATCCATTCATTGTGAAACTTGATCTTTACATTGATCATTGATCATAGAAGAAGAAAAATACATACTGAATGTTACCATGTGGTTATCACGACAATAAAATGATATAATTCATTTGAAAAAAGAAAACAAAACAATAATGGTTGAAATATGGACTTTATACCATCTCTTATCCATTGTTTGGTAATCTGTGTAAAGTAAGTATTATACCATAACAATAAAGCACAAACCAAATTTTTCATTTCACATTTGGAATTTAGCTAATAATAATAATGTTTAATAACTGATTACATAATCTTACACAATAACCAGTGCCTCAGCCTTGTAAAATAACCCTGAAAATGACAAAAAAAACCGCAAAAAAGTAGCACAAAATAAACTAGCAATTCAAAATCGAAATTTAGTCGTTACAAACCTTATCCACTTTTCCATACTTTGCCCCAAACTGGGGTCTACTTGCTTTCCCTCTTTTACTCAACTAACTATCTAACTAACTAACTATAAATATATATATATATATATATATAATGGTAGGGTGTGTGGCAAAGATACGTTGCCTTTTTTTCTAGATGGATGATATGCATCCAAATACCATGACAAATTGGGCGAGGATTGTGTGCTAGTGGGTCCTAAATTGACATCAAACCATTCCTTGTTTGAATGCACAAGTTGGTTGTTACAGTTAAAAATATTATGTTTTCAATAAAAAAAAAAATTGCTACACGCACAACATCAAAACCAAGAGTTATGCAAAGCCCCTTAAAAATTATAGATGATTTAAAATTTTGATTCTCACAACATTTCTCAATATTTAATCTTTTGAAGATTTGAGCTAATATATAGAATCATATAACATAAAATACATTCAAGCCAAAATTCTAAAAATATTATATATATAAAAAAAATGTATGATTAGAAGTTTATACTGTAATTAGGAATGTGTATGTATTTAGGAATGAATAACATTATTCAAACTCAGCATGACTTTGGCAATTCAAAGTGAAAATTTAAACACCAAACTATCAATAAGTACAAATAGACTTCTACCTCCATTTTTATTTGTTTGGTTTGAAATTATACAAGTGTATTTGTGAATATAAGTTTATATTAAACTCACACACTATATACATGGGAATACTCATGTGTTCATGTGCTAATGTCTGAAATGTATATTAAAAATATATACATGCATACATTTCTCTTTTCTCATTTTCCAATGATCATATATAACAAATGTTTTTTCAAATGTCAAAATCTTGGACAGATTAAAACTATGTATATATTTTGTGGTTTACATTATTATCACTGAAAAATTCATAGACTACATACATGCATGCATATAAGTATGTGCTGATCTCATTTCAATATTTCCTTTAGGTTTTTACATTTATTGAATTTTGAAACTCATTGTATGCAAAGCTGTCCAACCTACCATTTGATGACAGTCTGTTCAAATCCTGAAAAACTCCACAGTTCTCATGTATTTTGAGTGGATCAACTCTAGTATTAAATGAAATCTCAAGCTCATTAAAACTCCACAATCACCCTTCAAAAATGTGTGCCCATTTTTTCTATTTTATCAGTTTATTGTAAAAGTGGATTTTATTATTTGTCTAGTTAACTAATGAAAAAATTGTGGGGAAACTTTGAGTTCAAGAGTATTGAGAGAACTGTGGTTTGGGTGATGGATTCTGCTTGCTGTATAGTTGTTAGAAACATCTAAGCCACTTTTAGAACCATTATTGTTTTCTTTGTTGTTGTCATTGTTGTTGTTATTATGGTGGTGGTGGTGGTGTCAATGAAATCTTTTTTCTTTGATGTTGATGTTGCTCTTATTTATTCATTTTCCCTCCTCCTTGAAGGTGAGGATTCTAGTTGGTTGTTGTTGTTGTTTTTTTTTTTTTTTTTTTCCATCTTCCTTCCAACTGTAGAGAGATTGTCACCAAATCTGAGGAAAATCTTCAACCTTGTGTGACTGGCTATTTTGTCCCCTTCATTCAGCCATGCCCCCATGTTAGTCCCCATTTTGGGTATGGATCCCCTTAACTTCAACTGCTTGCCTGTGGATTTTGGCAGACTGTATCCCCATCTTACATGTGATCAGTTACAAATCATTCACACATACTCACAACATTTTATTCAGAAATCATTAATAATAAGGAATAGTAAGGAAGGAAGGCAAAGGAAAGGAAAGAAAGGGATTGAGCTGAAAAGACCGCAGGCAGTTGTAAAGCAATGCCTTCTGGTGGAACAAAAAGTAACCCATCAATGTCAAGATGGCAAAAAGAAAACACATATAAATGAATAATAACAATAAGTGAATAAATAAAAAGGCTGCACAAAGAAAGGATGGATGGAAGGGAGGGAGGAAAAGGGAGCATGGGAAGGGGGTTGATTGAGGGGTGATGTGTGTGTGTATTTCCCACACCTGGTAGTGCCAATCCCCATCACTTCACTTCTCCATCCCCATTATCCCTTTTTAGGGTTTCACCATTTTAACACAGTCTCACCCCCTCCCTGTGCCCAATCTCCATCACACTTTCTTCACCACCAGTTACCCCCCCCCCCACAATGTCGTCTCATTACTTTGTTTCAATTCTATTATAATTATAATTATAATGTTTTATTGCTACTCCTGGACATAGTTTGATACCATATGTGTTGGACTTGAGTTCATAGTTGGGTGGAAGCTGGACATGAACCCATCTCATCTGTCCAGAGGGTCGAACAGCATGCAAGTAAATCTAGGGACTGTGTGGATATACCATGCGCGGAATCGGGTTCCTAAGGTTTCCAGAGTGAATATAAATAGAATTATGAGAGAATACAGAAAAGAAAAGAAAACAGATCTTCTGAAGGATGTGTAGTTAGAAAGCTGAATGTTTGACCCACTGCATGTCCTATTCCATTGTGCAGTATCTGAATGTCTGACACTGATGGACTAGAACGGAAGTCTACGTTCTGGAGAGGTGTGTTCTTCAACACACGTTGCAAAATACAGGGAAAGCGCAAAAACAGTGTGTAAAAGGCCTTGATGAACACGCGGAAACCTGAGACCAATTCAACAGTGTCTCACAATGAGGTTGGGAAAAAGAGGAAACGAGGGGCAACAACAAATATTGCGGATCTTTCATGAACAGAACACGATGGCCTTTTGCATGATGAATAGGTCTAGTTTTATACACAACAATCACGAGGTTTGGAAAACTTAGGATCCAGTGCACCACTTAGTAGTTACCATGTTCTGGTTGTAGCGTTGACTCCTTCAGAATTGGAAATGCCAGTAGAAGCTTGGCAAAAAACTAAAGATGTGCAGACAATGTAGCTTCGAGTAGCTAGCAAGTTCTCGATACAAAACGAGCAGATGACGATTTCCACCAAATGCGAGGGATGAGTTGTGCGCATGCCTGGCTCCTCTTCTTTTGAAAGCCCCTGACTGCAAATCGTGTCGCTACCATCAGAAGCTTGCAATGATCTTTTCACCTATATTGCTTCACCTGCAAGGTTTGAGAAAACAAAATATTATTTGATTTTGCTATTAGTTTCCTAGAGCAATGAAACACTGTGTAGTATGGCAAAATAGAAATGAGTCAGTGTAGGTACCAAAACATCGCTGATAATCTAGAAGGGAGCGCAAAGCCAAGACTTAGAAGCAACTCCAAGTGAAACGTGAAGCTGTACGCAGTAGTATTTTTTTCCATGACGATCAGCAGGCTTTTGTTCTGTTCCAACGCACGTAAAATTTGGGATATTCATGGCGAGGCATTGAGAATATTTGGAGCTAATCGGTGAGAGTGTTATTTGTACCCTATCCTAATACAGCTTCTGAAAAAAAACTTCTTATTCTCATGATTCTCAATAACGACAGACTAGGGCGAGTTAGTGTATCATACAGCGTGATTCTTGCCATTGAACTCCGACACCAGTCTCCCGGTTGGCAGTTTCAATAACGAGAATGCCTGCGTGAACAATGTGCACCAATTTAGTGGGCTTGATAAACGTGAGCATGAGCATGGGCCTATCATCTGTTTTGAAGCAAAGTCAACAAATCTTGCATACGATAGACATAAAACCAAATGCTCTGCTTAAGTGGACAGCATAGGTGTCCTAAGAACATCTACTTTCATTGCACACTGCCATGAAGAGTTTTTGGTAGAACTGCTAGCCGATGCTCCAAACACAGGCAACTAGTCGGAAACGAAGTGTGTGAAAGCTGCGTCACGAGCTGTAATTTCTCCTCACGACATAAAAATACCATTGCATTCCAGAAAAGACGTGTGCTGAATAAACAAGAGAACACTGTACCTTACCAAACAATGGCCAATGGGAAAACTTTAAGTGCAAAGCAATAAGCCCATAAACGCAAAAGAGGAGATTGAAAAGTGAGAGTTCCAAACGGAGACAACTTTCCCACTGGGAGGTACCCCTCGATCTGATCAATTTGAAAAGAAGAAAAAAAGAAACCATGGTTTAAGACATGGTTTCTAGGTCAATTGACATATTCAGGGAGAGATGAAAAAGCATCCAAAAAGATAACGGATATTAACATTCAGATAAAGATTATAAAATTCCCCTCAAAGAGGACAACGGATAAGGAAACATTCTGATACATTCCACAAAAGTGAGAATATATGCTACGAATAGCACCAGAAATATGGCATTTTCACAATTATCCGATCCCAGTATAGATAGCGAGACATAGAAAATTTCCGTCCCATCCTCTGAAACAACGAAGAAAGGAAATTACTGGACACCGCCTCGTATTTGCTGTGAGGAAGTTGAAAGAATCTAGATTTGCATACCTGACGGAAGTGGCTGGCAGAGGAGGATGAGTGAGGTAGTGATCTCTACCACAACGCTACCTTCGATCAGGGTCAGCGTCACTGCAAAAGCCCCAACTCCACTGTGTTAGAGACTTCTGATCAGACGATTTGAATATGGGCTATTACATGTAGAAAATCTCCAACACAAGTGAAAAGAACTTAAGCTTATGAAACCTGTCAAATTGCACATGATCCTAGAATGTTGAAGTCACCCATAGTGGTAATACATGCAAGTCCCTCCCCGGAAATGGTGATCCATTGTGAAGCATATGAGTAGGTGTTGAGTACCTGGCATGGCAGGGATAAATGAAAAGCACTTGATGAACCGAATGCCACGAAGCATAGCGGTTCCCCAAGGCCATTTCAACTAAGACGAAATAGAGGACACTGCAAAAGTCGTGTCGACTGCACCAAGGAACCACCATGCTGGGCTTCAAAAATGTGATGGAGCCAATGCAACAACAGGCTGCAAAATATGCCAGGTGATTCAATAGTTGCTTCATGTTCAACCTCGAATCGGGATCATTTGACATTTTCCCTTCTTCACCTTTATATTAAACTCTACCACTTCCAAGTCAATTTAGTAATTTCGCTCATATCATCCACATTCCAAAGCTAACCAATGTAGGAGGGGAGTCAAACCAGGTAAACATGACACAGAGAATGGCAACAGAAAGGAGATCAACAACTCGCATTTCACCAACTTGATGCGCAGCTCTTACGATCCCCAGGGCAGGACATGCGCGCGCAGCGCTGTAGCACTACTCTCTGGCTGCATCGTCAAACACCCAGGCGCAAACAGTCAAGTCGGGGACGATAATGCACATACCTTAGCGATTCAAGAATTACCTGTGATAACCGCTGGAAAATGCCACAATCTTTTTTTGAAATGGGAAGTTCCAAAATGCAAGAAAATATAGAAATAATGCTTCAAAATCAAAGAACACTTTATTTCGATCCTTAATCTCTCCATTGCAAGATCTTCGAGATATAAAACATACAGTGGGAAAATTCCTTCGAAGTTATAGGCGGAGGAGGTGCCAACCGTCAGAGGGGTGAATGCAACCGAATACAGAGGAAAGATTCACCGCTCTCCAAATGAAAGTGAGCCTAATTCAGCTCTTCTCCCCTCCTTTTGGAGACCTCATCATATCTAGCTCTGGCAGTGTCACGGCCTCAACCTCCGCCTCCGACGATGCGGCTTTCGGTTGCAAGGACAATGCCCATGCTACTCCTCAGCTTTTTCCCATCTGGACTCACGCAAATTCCTGTTAAGTGACTGCAGTAACTCAAGTTCCTTGTCATGTAGCCCAATGTCCAACCCCTGCAGTGCTACCATTGCTGCTTTTCAGCCGAAAAATAAACTTCACATGATGCCAATCAACGTACTTCGCGACGCTCTCCCAAGCTGGGCAACCATGATCGTCGGGAAAGTTGGCCAATGCGTCGATTCGCACACACTCCAATGTGGCTTCTGTCTCCCGAGAAAAGATCCCGCAAATCAAGAGTGCTCTGAACGGCACTACAATTAGATTACCAAGATTACAGTCGAGAGCAGCTTGGCTTCAGCAGAGACGATCGCTGCACCCCACAGAGTGTCCCCATAGCACTCCCTCACTGACTGGCTTCCAGTTTTATCACATGACCATCAAGTTCTTCTAAGAACAATCCTCCATTCTGTGCAGTCGACCAACAAGGAAATTTAACGACACCCAAACATATTTTGTTTAATCTAACGAGACTGCAGGAACCCAGGAGATTCTGGCAGGAATAGCATGCGGGACAACGACAACCCCTGAAGCTCGTTCCGAAGCTCGGGGATGCCAAGGTTCTGAATCAGAATGGGAGTGGATAACGCACACTCTGCAGAACAATTGGCTTAATTCTAACGTCTATCTAAAGAAGCAGCCCAGGAATGTGAAGCAGGTTTTAGGGTTCCATCCGCTACTTGCTAAAACTAGTTTCGAGTTCCGCAGACATCAGCGGCTTCTCGGTCTGCGCTGTCATACATTTCGGGATATCACGTCCTGTCCGATCGAGTGACGAGATTTCCCCGCGCACCGATTTCCGCACATTCGCCACATGGTTCGCAATCGATCACGTCATCAATCTTGTTCCGATCGAGATGCTGCAATTTCTCATCACATCGTGAATCCGTCACCATCCAGCACAATTCCGGGGAGACTAACTCGTGGGACGCAAATTCTCGTCGCATGATCTGCACTTGAAAATCTAACACACATCCAGCGACCTCTACCTTTCCCTCTCTACGGTTGCGCCATGTTTATGTGGCTCTGTGCTCCTTCTCACATTCGCTCCGCACTCCATCGCCGCAAGCTTGTGAAGTTGAATCCTTCCTGTCTCGTGTTCTCTTTGCCTTCAGGAGACTTAAAAAAGGAGCTGCAGTTAGTCCTATGAGCTACACTCCTGTCCAATACATTGGTTTTACGATCACCCAGCAGCAAAATTCGCCACTGGAAAGCTATCAGTGGAAGCAAAAACACAAAATCATGAGGAGCAAGGTGTTGTTCCTTCCTTCCTTCCTGATAACAGCGAGAACCCTCCACACCGACTCAAATGCGAGCATCCGTCTCGGAATCTCATGCATGCATGCGTTGATGCATCTCTCTGCGATAGTGCGCTTCATCATGTAGCAGCACCTCTCCTCCTCTTCTTCTACTTCTTACTCGAAGAAGCTTTTACTTGGCTGAATCTGCACAATAAGTGCTCTATCTCTCTCATTCGTTCGTTCGGGTGGGCGTGGGCGTAAGTAAACAGTCCAGCCTCGTAAGGGACGCCCCGTGCATGCAGCTCCGACGCTGCTTTGAATGAGGAATGGCCTCGTGAGGGACGCCTCGTACAGCATTCCGACGCTGCTTTGAATCAACCGTTTTCCCACCTACTTGCTTGTGCACATGTGTGCTTTTTATTTATTTTATTTTATATTTTTATAGTGATGAGGGCTTCACCAAACTGTTGTAGCAGAATCAATGGTCTTTTTCTGTATGGGTCCATCTTCCTCACCATTTTGGAAGCTCGAAGCATCTGTTTGATGGAAAATTTGTTTGCATATCAATTGGAATCATTGTTTGGCATCTACTCAATTTTAAAAATAAATTCAAGATATATTCATTACATCTTGAATTTATTTTAAAAATTGAATTTATTTAAAAAAAGATCATTGAATTTATTTTAAAATAAATTGAAGCTGTAATTTAAAAATAAATTCAAGATGAATCTCAACCTTTGAATCATTCAATTTGTTGTATTTTGATGTGATATACAATTTTCACAAAATATGATGTTTAGTGTTTTGAAGTTGTGTAAGTTTTTTCAAGTAAAATTCATATTTTCTACTTTTCTTCCTAAAAATATGTTAAACACATCATTTTTTAATTTATTGTTTAACAATATAATATTTTTAGTACTATTATATAGTGGATTTTTTTTTTATTATTATTATTAGCAAAATAGTTGAAAAGAAATATAAAAAAAAATTAGTAGCAAAGAAGGTTTAGCTAAAATCAAATCTTTGTATAAATGGGTTGTTATAAAGATATTTATTTATGTATAATATCTCATAAAGCATGAAAAATATTATCATTTTTTTGGTAATAACAGTTGTTCTATAAGATTGATATAAAGTTATAAAAGACTTAAAATAATATAAACATCCACATCTAGCACAAAAAATTTACAATGATTTTTTTTATGAATTAAGATTAGTTAAAACACAAAAATGAGCTTAAAACATTAGAAGATAATGATGGATCTTTCACATTTTGTTTTATGACCTTTGTATTTTGTCTTGTTATAATTTTATTTCTTCATGTTTATTCCTAGAATACCTTAAGAATAATTGAATAATTTTATTTTTATTTATGCATTAAATAATTTCAGTTTTATTTCATTTTATTTTTTGCTAATCTTTAAATTATGGTGATATAAATAATTCTTATAAATTGCATGAATTATAATTTATTTATAATTAAATTTTTTCTTATTTTTTTTTATGATTTCATATGTTTATCTATAGATTTATACATACCTACATTCATATGGATTAATAAATGCTCTGTCATTAAATAGTATTTAAAAAAAATTATAATTAAATTTTTACAATAAAATAGTTATCCACCTTAATACAAAAAAAAGAAAGAAAAATAGCTAAAATAAAGGTTTGAATGATTTTTTTTTTTAAAAAAAAATAAAATGTAGAAAAATCAATAAAAAAAATGATAAAGTTCATATTTATAAAGAAAAATATCTTATACATTAAAAAAATAGTGTCTTTGTATGTGCATCATTCCAAAGAGTATTTCATCTTTGCATGTATTCATCTATCTATAAGTTTATTTAAAATTATTGACCAATTCTTACCTCAATTAAATACTTTGATAAATAAAAGATAGAATGAAATTTACCATCCAAGGTTGATACTAAGAGCCACATGCTTTAAGTTTTAATTATATTATTTATATTTATAAGAAACAAATGACATTCTTTCATTTCAATTTTGTTGTTGTGATACTATTTGATTAGTTTTAAGTTAAGTTTATGTTTACTATTGTAGTGCTTTTTAGATAGAGGGACCTTTGCAAATATGATATTTTTTCCAATTTCAAAACTCATATGATGAAGCATGTTATAAAGTTATTTTTTGTAGGAAACTTTGGAAGCAAGTAGGTGTTGGAAAAAGATATTAGTGCCAAATCAATTTCAATTGTTCATTTTTCTTCTTCTCCATCTACATATCTACACAAATATATATACAAATAAACATGAGAAAAGAATGAAGATAGCATAAAGAATAAATAATAAATAATCAAAATAAAATAAGAAACAAGAATAATAAAGAAAGGTGGTATGTACTTATATATTGTGACTATAAAATTTGTAGGTATAAGTACATTATACATCATGTTAGATGTTAAGCACTTGGCTATGATTCCAACATCTAAACTTATCTATGAGGATCATCTAAACAGATGATAAGTAAGATGGATGTTCTAACATCCTCCTTTGTTACAAAATCATCTATTGTATCTTAAATAACATGGACTTAATATTCTATAATCTCCAATTTTATGCTCTCTAGCGTATTTGATTGTTTTCAAAGAAATAAAAATGAAACACAAAGAGGTTTTTATTTTATAGAGGTCATAGAATTCATTATAGTAGTACTATCAATTATTTTTATGAATTTTTTTTTTAGAGCTCTAATTATTCTTTGTGCAATTTAATTAATTTATTAATCCTATTTATTTTGGCTATAATCTTAAGTCATTGACTATTATTTTATATAGATATATTGAATGATAATAAGAAAATTAGAGATATTAATTTTATCAATTGAAGTAAAAAATATATTAAGGTTGATTCTTAAGAATCTTATTATGTTGCTAAGTCTTTTTGTTAAGACATATCCTTTTTGGCTTCTTGTAATAAGATTGCAAGGTTGAACTTTGGTATTGCGAGAGATGGACTTCCTTCCTTAGCAATATTTGGTCCAAATTATAATTATTGATAAGGTTATAGTAACAAAATTCTTTTGGTACAAAGAATATGGCATCCAATTGATAGATCAACACAATTGTCAAAAGGTATTTCCTTGGCCAAATATTTCATCCATAGATTTTTTCAATTTATATTTGTTCAATAAAGGTGATATTGTACAAAAATTTGATATAATTTGTCATAAATTTGTGGATATTGAAGTGAAGATTCAAGGAGTTGTAGACAATTTTGTATTAAAGAAGGCTATAATTCAAGAAGTTGTTGACAACTTTTAGTTCTTAGCTTCTTGTTCATGTGGAATTGCAGCCAATCTTCTTTATGATGCAATTATTTCAAAATTGATATGAGATCTTTTTGTTGGTGCTAAATTATTTTGGCTCCTTCAATTGTCGAGATTGGTTTTTTGTAATTATGACAAATGATTATTTTTTAAAGAATTTCCATTAAATTAGAGAAGAAGTAAGAATTGATATCTAATTCTAATATATATATATATATATATATATATATATATATATATAAGAAAATGCTTATAGGGAGTATTTAAAGTAATATAGTTTCTACTAGGTATTAGGATTGTTCTTATTTGATGGATATTATGTTTAGTTTTGCTCTAAACTTTTTAAACAAGCTTTGTTTGAATGACTTGGTAAAGATGTTGGCAACTTGTTGTTGTGAAGGTACATAAATTAAACAAGCTTCTATCATTTTGATTCATTCCCTAGTGAAGTAATGATTAGTTGATATGTACTTTGTTTATGGATTGATGTTGAGATTTTTGGCTATTTTGATGCTTCTTTCATTATTATAATAAATGTGTATTGACTTTGGTATATTGAAGCCAAAATCTTTGATGAGTTTGACTTGTTAGGCTATTTCTTTGGTTGCTATTGACAACTCAATATATTCTATTTTGAAAGAAGAGAATACCATGATAGGTTATTTTTTGGAGAGCCATGTGATAGAACTAACTTCTAATATGAATAAAAAATCTATTGTTGATATGTCATTACTTAAGTTGCATCTTTAATATATGTCAATATATCTTGAAGCATTTGTGGCTGAATTTGTAGGATAGATTATTCTACTTCTATTTTTGTATTCTTAAAAGATACAAATCACTCACCTTTAAACTAATTTATAATTTTTTAATATTGATTTTTTTCTTAAAGAGATTAAATTATCTTTTTTTATGGAAATTTTTATTTAATACTAGAGATTAAAAATTACCATCTTCTAATTTAATTTTTTGAATTTATTTGAATTGTCTATAGAAGAAAAATTATAGATACTACTTTTGGCAAAAGTGAGAATAGTTTTGTAACTATTACAAATCTTTACAAGCTTATCAATATTTTAAGGTAGAAATCTCAAGTATTTTTAATATAAATCATAAAGATACTATTTTTATATCTATAGGAGAAACCAACAATAAAATTTAAAGTCTATTTCAAGAATTTGTATGATTAAGAAAAGCAAGTAGGTCAAGTTACTAATTTAATCCAAAAAATCTTGCTACTATAAGTATAAAAGAAGCAAAGATAAGTATGCTAGAGAAGTTTGATGGAAAAAGATCAAAATTTTGAAGATTTTTAAAATAAAAAAACTTTGTCTAAAATTACATCTTTTTCAATATCCTCATGGATTTATTCAAGTCAGATTTATAAGAAGACTTTTCTTTGAAAATAATCTTTCTTAATTTATGCCTTTAATGAAAAAAGATTTGTAACTATTCTATAATTTGAATTTATTATTAGAAGTATTTATAACTATATTTAGAAAAAAATGATCAAAAAAGGTTAACAAAAACTAAACTCATATATCTACAACAAGGATCATATTCAACCATCACATTTATTATTAGATTCCAAAATCTTGCCTATGACATAGATTGAAATGATTAAGCCCTTATCAATAAATTTTAATATGAGTTGAAAGATAATATTAAAGATTTATCATTGAAAAATATCAAGAATAGATGCATTAGAACAATTTATTGCTTAAGCTATTATATGCAACAATTGATTCTTTGAAAGTTAAAAAGAACAAAGTTTTAATTAAAGAGGTACAAGGGAAGCCATAGAAATATCTTCTAAATTTTTGGAAGCTTTTTTGTCTAAGCTAGAGCTTATGCAAATTGACACAATATGTTTTATATATCTTTTTGAGCAAAAAAAGACTTGTCATTGTCAAAAAGATTTGTTTATATATTGTGGAGAATCCAAACACACTACTTAAAATTATTTAATGAATCATTGTAATCACAAAATAAAAATTATGGTTGTCAAAGAAGACAACGTGTCAAAAAACCAATT